TTACAGAAGCTTTTCAGTTTCAGGAGGTCCCATTTATTGATTGCAGACCTCAGTGTCTGTGCTTCTGGCATGATGTTCAGGAATCATTCTCCTGTGCCAATTTGTTCATGGGTTATTCCCACTTTCTCTTCTAGAAGATTCAGTGTGGCTGGATTTATGGAGAGATCTTTGATCCATTTGCACTTTTTTTTTTTGCATGGTGACAGGTATGGATCTATCTGCAATTTTCTGCATGTTTGAATCCAATTATACCAGCACAGTTTGTTGAAGATGCTATCTTTTTTCCATTGTATAGATTTAGCACCTTTGTCAAGAATAAGGTTTTCGTAGGTGCATGGGTCAATATCAGGGTTTTCAATTTGATTCCATTGGTCTATCTGCCTATTTTTGTGCGAATACCAAGCTGTTTTCAGAACTATGGCTCTATAGTAGAGCTTGAAGGCAGGGATGGTGATGCCTCCAGCAGATCCTTTATTGTCTAGAGTTGTTTCGGCTATCCAAGGTTTTTTATTTTTCCATATAAAGTTGAGTATTGTTCTTTCAAGGTCTGTGTTTCTACCTATCCAGGAGCATGGGAGATCTTTCCATTTTCTGGTATCTTCTTTAATTTCTTTCTTTAAAGACCCAAAATTCTTACTGTACAGGTCTTTCACTTTTTTGGTCAGCATTACCCCAAGATATTTTATGTTGCTTGTGGATATTGTGAAGGGTGATGTTTCTCTGATTTCTTTCTCATTGAATTTATCATCTGTACATAGTAAGGCCGCTGATTTTTTGAGTTAATTTTGAAATTTTGTATCCTGCTACCTTGCTGAAGGTGTTTATCAGCCATAGGAGTTCCCTGGTAGAGTTTTTCGGGTCACTAATGTAGACTATCATGTTGTCTGCAAATAGTTAAAATTTGACTTCATCCTTTCCAATTTGTATCCCTTTGATCCCCTTTTCTTGTCTTATTTCTATAGCCAGAACTTCAAGTACAATATTGAAGAGAAATGGAGAGAGTGGATAGCCTTGTCTTGTTCCTATTTTAGAGGAAACGTTTTGAGTTTCTCTCCATTTAGTTTGATGTTGGCTCTTGGTTTGGTGTATATTGCATTTATCATGTTTAGATATGTTCCTGTTATTCCTGTTCTCTCCAAGATCTTTATCATGAAGGGATGTTGGATTT